TTTTCCATAAATTGTTTTTGAGTGTGTTGGCTAATCTCTTTTTTGAATGTTTCCATTGATCTTATTTTTTCATCAGTGAATCTTTTGGCAGCTGTTCAGTTCTAAATTGCTTTTACCATTAGGGAGCTTTTACTTGCACCTAATCTCGCAACAGCCATTTTGATTAGATTTAATATAACTTTTCTCTCAGCTTGCTTTACTAAGAACTGCATCCTGCCGTTTTCTCCAGGGTTTTCTTAAAAGATGGTATGGAGGAGGTCCAGAAGGATTTGCCGGTGGTTATAGATGGTTTGAATTTTTAAGCCAGTGTCCTGAATAGAGAGTGCTTAAAAGGTACACCATTTATGGCAAAAAGTGACACCTCATGGCAGTACTCCTGGACTTAAGAGTGACAGAGACGTCTTCATCGCAGGGTTGATGTGATTTATGTCTTCTACCTCTAGACTGATCATGCTGTGCCATAGGTTTGCCACATCTGTGGCAGGACACAGGGATATTGCTTAGTTTTTTCAGGTGTATGAGGGGGAAAAAAATAGCTTGCATTTTTCGTTCTGCTGGACCCTTGTAAAACCAGTAATAAAAAGGGTTGTTAGAGGTATAGCGGCTTTGGAAGCTTATTTTATTCATGAGTTTGGGAAAGGGAGTTTAGTTTTTGAACTGTACTGGTTGGCTGGTTGGTTTCTAGGTCTTCCCTGTTGCTGTGAGCCTTTTCTGTTTTGTTAGTACGTGGCTTGATATGCAAGTCTTAATGAGATAGCCTTTATTAATGGACTACTATATATTGAGATTAGTATTTAACTAATACAGTGAACTCTTGCTTGCTGGCAGTATAGAGGTCATGGAAAGTCTGTTGCAATGAATTAATTCATGAGTGTACAGCTTAACTGTTTCTTTTTTAGTTTAAACAATCATGGGCAATAAAACTGGAACGCAGAGTTTGGTATCCTGCGAATTACTTACTAGCCTGGTTCAGTGGTTTGTACCACATTTTCCCAATAAGATGTTCTTTGGGATGGAGAGATGGTTATTAAACAAAAACAAAACAAAACGAAAAACAGAAAACAAACACAAAACCCCTTAGACACATTGAAATAACTTCACCACTGCCACTTTGAACATCCATTTAAAAAGTACTGAATGCCTGAAGTATTTATAAATTAATTATTCTTCTTCCCTCAACCCTTCCTCTAGCAAATGAAATGCTCTTCATAGGCATGGGTATGTGAAGAACCGACCAATACGTTCCTAAAGGAGGATTTATTAAGTATGTTTAGAAGACTTGAGGTGGGTTTGAGTGGGGGTCGGTTTGAGCTGCAGAATTCCAAAGGCTAAAAGCAATGGAAACACATGGGTGAGAATGGAAACACTGAAAACAAAGCGTTTTTTTGAGTCTGGAGAGTACATTTCAGTATAATAACCTACGGATATTTGCTTTGAGCTCCATAACAAATAAGTCAGATAGGAATCTTACTCCTCAGATTTATAAGAGGTGCTAGTCCGCTTAAGATTTCCTTGACTTTAGCAGACTTCCTGTTTCTTTTAAATACTTTCCACTTGAATGACGACCAATGCTAAATCTGTGTATGGGCCAGTTTATCCCTACAGTCTGCTTAATGCTCATGGCTTTTTTTTTTCCCTCTTCCTTTTGTTTTTTTGCTTCTTTTCCTTTACTTGGAGTCTGCGGACTCTGTCTGCTCCTGTGTTGTTTAAACGCTCTTTCAGCACAGCAAGGAAGTCTTTCAGACTAGCGAAGTAAAGGTGGTGACACGTCTGTTGTTCGAGGGGGGGAAAAAAAAAGTATTGGAAAGAAAATGGCAATGATAGTCCTTAGTTTGTTTTGATCTGTTCTCCATCCTCCTCCTCCACCTCCTTTTCTCTTCCTTGTCCCCCTAGTCATGAAAGCTATCCACTACCCACTTTAATCATGACTTAATACATTGCTTTCTTAACTATCACTGACGGCAACTGAAATGCATAATCGTGTTTGCTTATCATTACTTCCCAACTTGTATTCTTAATGAAAACTGTATAGCAGCAGTCTGTTGCAGAAGTATGAAAATATTATTGTGGGTGTTGCAGTTAACATATGACTCAGGTTCTACTGAAAGACGGTTTTAGACTAGGATTGTGTTAAGTTTAGAAAACACTTACTATATACTTCAGATTATTCTCTGTGCTTCACTATTCAAAGTTACTATGTCCACACTGAAGTAAAATTAATGGACAGTTTATTACACATTGAAGAGCTTCTGTTAAGAAAATTTTAAGAAGAATTTTTGTGCATCTCATTTTCCTGTGAAGAATGTGTAAGTTCTTAATTTCTTGAGCCCATGTACTTATTACTGTATCATATCCTGACTGGCAGTTGTAAAAATGATTGAAATATTTTGGATTTAATGAATTAAGTGAGGAATGTCTGTGAGAACTGTCTTCACATTTATGTCCCTAAAGATGGACAAGAGGCAAATAATCATTCAAATAGCAGGAAAGCAGGAGAACTACTCTTTATATTTCTCCGCGTGTAGTTCCATGAGCAGGGGAGCTGATGGCAGATGCTGCTGCAGAAAGAAAAGTATCTTTCACCTCCACTCCTGGCTGTGCTGTCCTGCCATTTATCCTTTAGTGCTTCAGTTCACAACCCTGTTTTCCAGGGCGAGAGGATGAGCTGAATCAGCTCATGGGAGGATCTGGTGACTTCCGAGGCTCGTGCAAAGCAAGCAGTGGAGTGTGTAAGGCTTGGCAGGGCCTCCCGCTGAAGGACCTCCAGCTCTAACAGTCGTGATCTGTTGGAGTTGTTGGTCATCCTGTCTTAGGAATCCATACCTGAAAAGATTAACTTTTTTTTGGGGGGGGGACCAGATTTAATCTACTGAGCAGACGAGCATAGGAAAGTGCATCTATTTAAAACTGGTTCCGATTTAAAAAAAAAAAAAAAAAGTGGCTCTCCTTGATTGTATGCAATGATGAAACTGAAGAAATTGCCTCCTAATAATAGTTTGTGATACAGAAACTCTGCAATACTTTTTTGTCTTTGCATGCGTGGTGCCAAGTTATTCTTTATAAGCAAATCTTTGTGCATTTTTTTTAATTGACACTGCTCAGACCATTATTTGTAAAAGGAACTAAGACCCTGATTAAAAACAGATTTAGAAGAGTCTTGTGCATGCAAAGTCCCACTTAAGTGCACTGAGATGGTGATGTTCATATTTACTTACCTAAAAATTATTGTGTCTAAATTGCCGTCTGAATTTTATTATCGTTGAAGGTAGTATCAGAAAAATGACATGACTTAAAAACAGTTATAAACAAGCTTAAATTCTCAAGTAGAGGAATGTTAAATCCTGCTTAGAGCAGGAACCAAGAATATTTATGATTTGGAGTAGTTACTAGAATAACATTTCTACCAAAGCATAAAAGTTGTTTTGCCTGTCTAATTATTTAAAACATCTCTTCAGTAGCATAGGAATGCACAGTAATATATAGCTGTAACCACAAAAAAGAAACAGGATTGTGGAATTATGTCCTCAATTCTAGATAATATGGATTAATTGCCATATTTAGTGAGAGCAACAGATCTGTTTGCTTAGGGCTTTTAGTATATAAGACTTGAAATATTGTAACACTGTATTTTGAATACTTTTTCAGCTCGAGATGCTGATGAGAGAGAGAAGTGGATTCATGCTTTAGAAGACACTATTCTCCGCCATACTCTTCAGCTTCAGGCAAGTTCCACTTTCACTCTTAATTTTTTTTTCCAGAACAACAAAGTACAATGACATGACTGTTCATAACAAACATACCCTGTGTAACATCTGATTGTTCTACGGCGTATACATTGAGCTGTAGTAAGATACTAATACGGGTACCTTAGACTAGATTCTAGTCTTTCTGTTACTATTTTCTTTTTTCACCATCCTGACAAGTCAATGTGAGGCTTCTCTTTCTTAGCCTGTATTTTAATTGATGTTTCCAGACTGATCTTGATACATTTATTTGTTTGGGCTTATTTTTTTTTGGTTTTGTTAAAATTGGAGTTAATCCTTTTTGAGTCAAGCAGAATGAGACATCTGGAAGTCTGTTATATATTTGTATAGCATCTAATTTTTTATACTAAAATGAGACAGCAGCATTGAACATATTTAATGAATGACAAAAGTGGTAAACAGCTTATGTTTGAATCCAGTGTGTAAGCTGGATATTGGTAGTGACTTTTCTGGTGACACTTAGCTAGGAAAAACTCTAACCTGATAAAATTCTTCAAGATTACTTCTTCCTAGAGAGAGTTTTTTGGTTGGGGGTGGCGGTCTGAAAAAAAGGATAGTTGGACTGAGGATGGTTCTTAGCGCCGCCGATATAAGCTCGATTCTTGGTGCTATTCTATTCTAGACTTAGACATATCTACAGAACAGGCTGATCTTTTTTTGTTTGTTTGTTTGTTGCCCTGGACAGAATCCTAAACTTTTTAGAAAAGGGATTTTCTCATGCTTGGGTTGTACCACAAAGGCGTCTGATTACAGTGTAGAAATCTTAAAACAGGTATTCATTATTTGTACTGAATAAAGGTTTGGTATGTTTTAGAGTGAGAAATCTGGATCTCTTAAAGACTGACACTATGTAAAGAAAGATACATTAAAATCTTTAGTATCACAGAAGGAGAAGCAGATTATAAAGACTGAGGTGGATATGACAACATTTTTCCAGTCTAAAAAGTTAGATATAATCCGGAATTTATTCCATCCAACTTCAGGCACTTGTGCATCTCAGTGAAATTCAGAGTCCATTTACTTTTCCTGCTGTAGCAGTGGCTTTCGACTCTTTTTGACTTAAGGACCACTCAAAATTTTCTAGCGGATAGCAGATCCCTGGAAAACAAATTCAAGTTTGGCAATCAGCTTCATTTCCTTAATAACACATCATGGAAACTTTAGTAGTAATCCGTGCCTCCTGGCACCGTAGCCGACCACAGACAGAAGTACCCTGCTCTGTGTGAGGGGGCAGAGATTACCTGGAGGACAGCGCGAGCTGCCCTTCGAGGGAGGAGAAGGTAGGTAGCAGGTTCCTTGCGCAAGCACTCCTGTTCAGGGCCTGAGACGAGGAGCAACCTGCGCTCTCGCCTCCACCCGTAAGGCTCAGAGATGCAGGCTGCAGAAATGAAACGTCAAAATGGACTCCAGCTTTATCAAAACGTACACCTCCACCCTCTCTAGAAATTGTAGTCCTTGTCTTATTGGCAGACTTCTTAACAGGTGCTGCGATTGCCGCTAGTAATGGCACGGTTTCCCGTTAGATAACCTTTTTCATCTTCCAGGGGCTTTTCCAATAAGCGAAGTGTATTTAGATTAAAAAAAAGATAAAATTAGTAATTTAGTTAGTAATGTTTGAGGGGAATAATTAAAAATCCAGAACTGACTACAAAGAAACACGTGCTCATCCCTCTAAATACACCGAGCCCTGCAGTACCTCCTGGGCCAGGGCAGCGCGGTCGCACCATTCACCCTCCAGAACCTGCTTTCCCCGTTGCCCATCACGTGCGTTTGGGCCCCGGAGACGCTTGGCGTTAGACCGGCCCGAATACGCCTGCGCTCCCCCCTTCAGCCGTTTTCGGGGCTCCCCATCTTCGCTGCACGACGTTCAAGAAACCCCGAAGCGGCGCTCGACAGTCCGCCGGGTCGCTGACTCCCTGCTCGCCGGGGACACGACGGCGCCGCCCGGACGCTCGGCTGCTTTTCGATTCCAGGCACGGCCCCGCGCCGCCCGCCCTCCCTGG